CATCCATCAAGTTGATGACGTTTACGTCACGAACTACGATCTGTGACTGCGATAATTGTCTAGAGACAGTCTGCAGTAAATACAGAAGAGATGTCATATGTCACTTACGTCATCAATCAGACATTGACAAGTTGATAACTACCTTGACGTTTAAATAAATATGATGGACTGGAAATATGATATAATCATAACAATAACAATTACCAATAATACCATCGGACAATCTCACCTGGTACTGTCGGTTTATCCTGATTAATTGTGCCCCTCAAGCAAGGTGACACTACCAAGGTAAGGTTTATATCCCACTAAACAGCTGAACAATAAAGGTGATATTTTCCAGGTGGAAAGTTGAAGTTACACTCTACTTCATAATCTTAAGGAGTCCTAACAGTGATCAATACCTATTGAATCATACGGAAACATCCGTATATGAGAACTACACCCTAGAGGGAACTTATGAGACGAAATCAACCCAAGGATCATGAGGGATTATCGGTTGGCAGAAGGAAGAAGGTGAGTGTTAAGTTTAGTGATGCAGATTCAATCTTTAGAGTGCTTAGTAAATACTGATATTATTCTTTATTTTAGGTTCAATCAGGAAACCATTTACCTCCAGTGTACGGGTATACTTGGTGAGCTGATGATAGTATGATAATGTACTAAGATACTATTAATAAATTGGTGAAACTAAAGGGTTTTTGTGCTAGTCATAACTGAACCGTAACAACTCCCCTCTTCCGTGAAGAAAGTTTTTTTTTTCAAAAAAAGAAACTGCTATGGGTTGCTAATAAGGTTCCTAGTCGAAGGATCCTGGAGAAGTCATCAGGTAGGTAGTTAGGTAGGATAGGTTATGCTTCCGGTCAGGTAAGTCCGTAAGTCAGGTACGTTCGTCATTGCATCCCTCAATCCTCGTCGTCAGAGTTCAACTCTGGGGGATGAGCCTTGAGGTCTTTAGCATGCCAAACTCCCTTACTTTTTCCATTGTTGTCCACCAACTCGTATGACCACGGTGACATTATCCTAGAGATAACATATGGCCCTTCATACTTTGGCGCCAATTTGGCGGTAAAGCCCTTGGTGGCGTCGGACAGCGCGTACTTACGCTTCCATACTTGTTCATGGACTTGAAATTTATCGTCCCTCCTCCGCAGATTATATCGATGTCGACTGGTCTCGAAACTCTGCTTGATTCGACTAGCTACATCATCGAACACTTGAGTCAAAGCTCCCGCACGAAGTTTCGGATCGAATGGGGTTTTGGGACATTCCAACGCATTCGCATCCTTTCCGGAAAGATGTATTTCCCGGCCAAACATTATGAAATTCGGAGTTAGTTTGGTAGTTTCGTGGCAAGATGATCGAATCGCACATGCTACCTTTGGCAAAAGTTTATCCCAGACACGATGATTATCTGCGACATAGGAGGATAGCATCGTCTTGATAACGCGGTGACAACGCTCCACGGGATTGGCTTGGGCATGGAAATTGGAAATATAGCCCGCCGCGATATTATACGTTGTGAGTATGCCCTGGAGGTTTTTACTTTTGAATTGCACCCCATTATCCATAATAACTTTTTGGGGGGCCCCGAACATCAAGACAACTTGATTTTCGAATATCTCCGTAACCTTGTTGGCGGTGGCTTGTCGAAGCGGAAATAGGAGTACGTATTTGCTGAAGATATCTTGGACTGATAGAATATAAGAATACCCTTGACTTGACCTAGGCAAAGGCCCTACTAAGTCCATGCTCAGAATCTGCCAAGGACGAGAGGTAGTTGGGGCTAAACTGAGTAGTTGTCCTGCGGGCTTCCGTTGTTCGGGTTTAGTCATTAGGCATACTCGACAACGACGAACATATCTGGCTACATCTTCCTTGAGCTTTGGCCAGTAATACTTAGCCGAAACACGGGAGCAGGTCTTAGAAATACCAACATGACCGCAAGTAGGCGGGTCATGATTATCACGTATGATTTCTTTCCTCTTCTCCTTAGGGACTACCAGTAGCCAACCGTCTGACTCTTCGGACAGGTCCGGATAAGCTCTGCTGACTCGTTTAAATAACTTCCCGCCTTCTAGGTGGAACAGTGGGTACTTGGCAGGCGTGATCTCCACTCTCCTGCACATGTTCGAGTACCATTTGTCCCTGGGAGGCTGTGCCTCAACAACCGGTTCGACAGCATCCACGCGCGGGACGGCCCTAGAAAGAGCATCCGGTACCACATGGTCTTTCCCTCGTCGGTGGATGATGTCGAAATCGTATTGTTGGAGTCGAACAGCCCATCGAGCGATACGTCCAATGGGATCCTTAATATTATTGATCCACTTCAAACTGAAGTGATCTGTCGTGACAGTAAATCTAGTGCCCTCTAAATACGGTCGCAACTTCTCTATCGCGAACAGGACTGCCAGACATTCCTTTTCTGTAGTGCTGTACTTACGTTCAGCCTTGGAGAGCGATCTACTCAGATAACATATGACCTTCTCTTGGTGATTCTCCCCAACCTGAGTGAGCACAGCACCCAGTCCGTAATCGGAGGCATCTGTCTGTAGCGAGAAAGGAAGATCAAAATTTGGGCAGGATAAGATAGGTGCTGACACTAGATGATCTTTTAGGATACAGAAGGCTGTTTCACAGTCTTTCGTCCATTCAAAGACCTTATTCTTCCGCAGAAGATTACATAAAGGAGCTGTGACGGTTGAAAAATGTGGTACGAACCGTCTGTACCAGGAGGCTAATCCTATAAGTCGACGAACATCTCCAACATTTCTCGGCGTGGGGATGTTTAGGATGGCCTCTACCTTTCCCGGGTCGACCATCAAGCCCGCCGCACCGACGACGTACCCGAGATATTTTAGTTCCGGCTTGCAGATGTGGCACTTGTCCTTATTCAGGGTAAGTCCTGCTTTTTGTAGCCGATTGAGGACTTCTTGGAGAACTTCTATGTGTTTTTCGAAGGAAGAGGTACAGATGATGACATCATCGAGGTAAACAAACACATATTGTTCCAAGTCGACTCCTATCACTCGGTCTATGAATCTCTGCCACGTAGCCGGGGCATTGTGCAATCCCATGGGCATCCGCCGAAACTGAAACAATCCTCTGTTGGGCACTACGAATGCCGTTAGAGGTTTTGACTCTTCTGCTAACGGTATCTGCCAATAGGCTGACTTGATGTCGAGCGTAGTCAGGTAATGGGCATCCCTCAATTTGTCGAGCGTCGCTCCAACAAATGGCAGCGGATAGGCATCACGAGTGGTAACCTTGTTAAGTTGCCTGAAGTCCACCACGAACCGGTACCGTCCATCGGGCTTTTTAATCAGTAGGATTGGTGAGGCCCAAGGGGAACTCGAAGGTTCAATCACGCCATCTGCCAACATCTTTTCTAGCTCTTCATTGACCTGTTTTTGAAGAGTAGGTGAAAGAGGGTAATGTCGTTGTTTAAGTGGAGGCGATTGCGTCGGAATTACATGCTCGACCAGGGAGGTACAGCCTAGGGTACTACCCATTTGTCGAAACGCCTCCTCAACTAGCTTATCTAGTCTACTCCTCTGATCCTGGGTTAATGAATCCATAGAGACAAGAGCCACTTCTGGCTTTAGATGATCCTGATGATTCTTAAAAAACCATTCTCCGGAAAACATATCGGGGACTATACGCATTTTCCTCCAAAAATCCATCCCCAGGATGAGTGTATGTGGCATCGACGGAATTACCAATACTTCTAGGGTACTAACCCTTCCATTGAGTTCTAGAGGTAGGGATATTTTCCCTTTTATCGCACAGGTCTCTCCGCTGGCTACAGTACAAAATTGAGTGTCTGCCCTTTTAAGGGCACAGTGTGACCTTAACAATTCCCAACCGGGTCCTCCCAGAATGGTGTTTGTAGCTCCGGAGTCTAGTAATCCCAACAATTTTCGCCCAAAAATTTTCACCTGTAAGTATGGCCTAGTATCGTCCTTGGCGTGAGCCAAGACATAATCGAGGATGATTTGGTGTTTATGGATGGCCGTAGATGGAGGTTGATTCACCACTTGGCCTAATGGCGACCTCCTCTCGGGTTTTTTCGACACCGAGGACAAGAGTCGGAGGTCACATTTTCCTTGCCACATTTGAAACAGAACTTCCTTCGAGGTTCTGGACACTGACGAAATCTATGTTCTGAATTGCCACAGTTCCAACATACCGCTGCCTGAGGTCTATCAGTATGCATGTCATGACGCCTGTTAGATTGTTCTTCAGGGTGTCTGTCCGTGTGTCTGTCGTTTTGTCTGGTAGTTTGTCGTTCAGGATGACTGTCGGCATAAGAGGAGCGGTTGACTGAAGACTCGGGAGAAGAATTAGCGAAATTAACCAAGGGTTGTTGAGATGCTATAGGTCTGGAATCCACAGCAGAAACTGAATTCTGTGGAGTTATCTTGCGATAGGCTAGTTCGGGTTCTAAGAGAGATCTATAGGAAGTAGATGGTGGAGTGAATCTCTGGACTCTGAGCTCAGTTTCTTCCACAGATCGACTTAATCGGGTTAGATCGGTAATTGTTTTGATCTCACATAGAGCCAACTGGGTTTGGATATGGGGAAGGAGATTACGACGGATTATATTGACCCTAGCCTCATCGTTAGGAATGGTTTCTAGTTTTCGGAATAAGTTCTCCATGGCTGTTACATAAGTAAGTACTTTTTCCTGAGCCCCCTGTGTCCTTTTGCGTATTTCGTCCCATAGGCTATACTCATAATCATATGGACGGAACGCTGCACGCAATTGACTGACAAGGTCATCCCAATCCTGGAATTTTCCCATCCTGAACCACAGTAACGCGTCCAGAGTAAATATTTCCGGTGCCCAACGAAGAAGACTTGCCTTGGGAATACCTCTAGCGATCCGTAGTTCCTCTACCCTTTCTAGAAATTCGTTCACGCTAGATCTACCATTGTATCGCAAATTAAATCGGTTTAGGTCTCTCCATTGGGTGTCGGTGGGAGGATAGACTCCACTCAACTTATCATTGGGAATAATTGGGGACATTTGAAGATTATTGAATCTTTGTTGTAATGCCACAGATGGGTCCATGGTTAAATCGACTAATCGAGTAGAGTTGTTACACTGTACTCTTCTCGACGTTTCATTCGGTGAGGAGGGTGGAAAAATCTCATCAGGAAACGATACTCGGGGCTTAGAGTAACAAGGAATCGGTGCGTCGCCTACATTCTGATGAGACATAAAGGAAGCTAGAACCTCCTGATAAGTACCAGAAGGGCCTTGGGAAGCTGAGTCATCCGACGCTTTTTGAGTCCTCGGTTCCGAGGATACTTCAGCCGGCTCGTCGGTCAGGTCAATAAGGTCGGTTGTTACAACCATTGGAGGGGGAGGTTGTTGGAATGACGTTGGAGTCAAAGGGGGAACCGGAGTGTCAAGTAAAGATTGGTTGTTTTGGGGTGTTGGCTCCAGTACATCTCTTGGTCTTGAAGTTGTACCAAGACCCTCAAATACTAAATTTAATTCACCAATTAGTTGAGCACAGCGACTAACTAATTGATTCCGCACGCCTTCGACCGCCTCTGTCTTGCCCGTAATTCTCCCCAATCTCAAGGATAAGTGTATAAGCCTACTATAAATTCTTCGAAATTCGTTGTCTCCATTTTCATGATCGAATTCTGAAATAGACTTTTCCAAATCACCTAGTTTCTGTTTGCAAATAACGATTTCATTATCGATATCCAGAAATGCTTGGACTATGACTGCTCCCGGATGTTTTTTTTCCAACCGAAAAATTTCTCTCAATGCAATTCTTTTTTTCTCTACTGTATTTCCTATCGGTAATCCACGTATATAAAGCTCGTAAGTTAACTCGTCACCCAAAAGACGATTTACTTCCATTTTATAATTTTGATAAACTCTACCCCACCCTTTCCAGAAGAGGAATGAAAACTATAAAAAAAAACAACACTTTGCTTAGACAAACCAATCTCCAGGGATCTGACCCATAAGATGTCACAATACTATCTTGGTTTTATGGTTTTCACAACCTCCAAGCACACCATCCAAACCGAGCTGCAAAACTTAAAACTTACCAAGCGGCAATCCCGACAGTTATATCTAACAGCATAAGAATGAGAAAAATGAATTTAATTTATCTTCACCCTGTATAAAAAAACAGATCCTCCAACTTATTTATATCCGTTGGTATTGAAGAAACTATTTCCGCTATCAATTAAAATTATTCCTCAAAACAATAACCTCTTCGGTGGTATCCAAAAAAAAATCACCCTGTATATTGAATTTGAAAAAAAATATTTTCTGGATTTGAGATGATTCACGAAAGTAGGTATTCAATATGAATTAATTATCTGCAGACTGATTTCACCCTGTATATCTCCTATAAATTAGACCAAAATGATAAAACTATGTAGAGGTGTCTGATTATAAATATTAATTTTTTTTTTGTAGGTATACCCTGAAATCAGTACATTTTCGCCATATTCCGAAAAAAAACAACTAGCTTTCAAAGTACCTACCATGCAACCAACTAGCAATTCGATAATAAGCGTTTTTTTTTCCAATTACCAATGATTAAACCTACGTTGTGGGCGCCAAACTTGTAATGACCAATAATGATATGTTGCTCTGTGGACTATTTTTGGTGTTCACAAGGCAACGCGCCCACGTTGGGCGCCAAACTTGTAATGACCAATAATGATATGTTGCTCTGTGGACTATTTTTGGTGTTCACAAGGCAAGAATAAATTTGTCGTCTAGCTCAGGAGAGAGGGGTGGTTCAATAAAATGAATACTCTAGGGAAGTCCCATGGAAACATGTATAATTATAATAAATATATTGTTCCACCAATGTGTGTGCTATATCAATTGTTCAGCAGGAATATATACGAATAAGTGGTTGGTTACAATGGTTATTATTGACTAACCTACGGTTATTATCATTGCGTTGGTTGCTGGTCACTCTGAAGCCCTAATGTACCCTAATGGCAGCGATCGTCAAAAAAAATGAGAAGAATGACAGGCGCTATTCTAACCTATTTAACCTTACATAATATAACATAACATTCATGATAGTCATGACCAGAGATAAGTTACCCACACATAAAATTTGGATAGTTATGATAATTCCGCTGATATCCTCAAATTTGGGAGGTAGTGATAATTATTTATACACTGGAAGGCCAAATGAAAATCCTCACAACACATCAATTTTGGTTGTATAAATTCTAGAAATGGTTGTGAAAAGGTGTACACCTGAACTTTCAATCTGACGCCTATGTACAATATGTTTACAGTAAGTACCTAATTATACAGATATCTACAAACTAAGCAGCCTAGCTTGAGTTCCTGTCAAGCTAATCCTTCTGGTGATAATGACGACAAGCGAACACAGTAAACTTGTAATGATTTCAGGGCCGATTCTCTAGCAGGGCCAATTATCCCTTCGGAGGTCCACAAGGGGGTTACAGAGCTAATCTAGGGTTACCTTGTTAATTGCAGAACCAGTTCCTCTGCAGAGGACTTGGATAACTCCCTGGAGTCACAACGAAAAGTCCAAGACTTCCCAATAGGTCCAACACAGGAGCCGTGCAGACCTGATACTGAGCTACCAGCTAGTTAAGCTCAACTATTCTCTAAGCAGGCTGAGTGATAGCCAGATAAGCTATTGGGGTCTATATAAGCATGCAGAATAGCAATATACAAAAAGGCCTGAAAATACATTTGTCTAAGCAAAGCAAAATGGCAAGCAGCAGAATGATAAGCAATGGTTAGGCAGGTTAATAACTAGGAGAGAAAAGATATGCTAGGTTGGTACTTTACCTTTGATTGTAGGTGGCCAAATGTGTCGAACTCGTGTTCGAAGTTTAATGATGGAGATTCAGTAGAATATGAACTGTATATCCAACAATCTTGTTGATAGTATCCAATTAAAGCTAATTTCGATTACTATTGTTCAATATTCTGAATCCCTTTTGGAAAAATCCGCTAAGAAGCGTGAGCACGTTTTCTTTTCCAGAATCCGTCACAAAAAAGATAGAAAATCTAGAAAAGGAGAGAAAACCGCTCTATCCGTCATCATATAAAACATTCTTTAGGACAGGCTAAATCGCAAAAGGTATTCCCAAGCCCTATTTCATATTATTGCCCAGGATGAAGCGAGATGGGAGACTTTGTAGCTAACCACCTGTCATGATTTTGGAAGTTTCCAATCGTATGTCAGTTGTCTCAACAATGACATCCATCAAGTTGATGACGTTTACGTCACGAACTACGATCTGTGACTGCGATAATTGTCTAGAGACAGTCTGCAGTAAATACAGAAGAGATGTCATATGTCACTTACGTCATCAATCAGACATTGACAAGTTGATAACTACCTTGACGTTTAAATAAATATGATGGACTGGAAATATGATATAATCATAACAATAACAATTACCAATAATACCATCGGACAATCTCACCTGGTACTGTCGGTTTATCCTGATTAATTGTGCCCCTCAAGCAAGGTGACACTACCAAGGTAAGGTTTATATCCCACTAAACAGCTGAACAATAAAGGTGATATTTTCCAGGTGGAAAGTTGAAGTTACACTCTACTTCATAATCTTAAGGAGTCCTAACAGTGATCAATACCTATTGAATCATACGGAAACATCCGTATATGAGAACTACACCCATAGAGGGAACTTATGAGACGAAATCAACCCAAGGATCATGAGGGATTATCGGTTGGCAGAAGGAAGAAGGTGAGTGTTAAGTTTAGTGATGCAGATTCAATCTTTAGAGTGCTTAGTAAATACTGATATTATTCTTTATTTTAGGTTCAATCAGGAAACCATTTACCTCCAGTGTACGGGTATACTTGGTGAGCTGATGATAGTATGATAATGTACTAAGATACTATTAATAAATTGGTGAAACTAAAGGGTTTTTGTGCTAGTCATAACTGAACCGTAACATGCAGCACCAAATACCCCAGAAGATCATTACAATAATTTACACCGTCAAGCAAGAAACGTAGTATACAGAGGCGTTGGGGTCTTGAAAGCACGATTCAGATGTCTTAGAAAAGATATAAACATGATGTTGCAGCTCGAATAATTTGTTCATGTGTAGTTTTACATAACATCTGTAGAATTTATAATTTGCCAGATGAAGAATATGCTGATGATAGAGATGATATTATAGAAGATGAAGATGATAATCAACTGCCTAAAAATGGAGAGAACAGAATAAATAATGGCGAACAAATATAAATTCATGAAAATACATTCTGATTACAAAAAAATATATTCATGCATCAAAAGTCTGAACATCACCTGATCAACTTTTTTTCAATTTCAGATATTGATGAACTCACTAGCTGAAGGCAGATATGTCAGAAGACAAATAGTGAACCTTATGCAAGAAATGTAAATTTTCTAGAATACTTGTCATTTATTTATAAAACAAAATAAAATATGAATTCTAAAAGTAAATTTGATTACAGGAACCAAATATACCTATGAACAAAAACATATAAATTCCAAAAATAATAAATAAGTAACAAATCACATTGCAAATTAGGTAGGTACTAAAAAGTATTGTAAAGAAGTTAGCTGCTTTCCTTATTCAAGGCTGAAGCAATTTTTGATATAGCATCAGCAAGCTGAGAAATAGCAGCAGCCATTTCCTTGACCATTTGTTGAGTGCTTTCACTGTATAGAATGGCTGAATTTTCCAACTTTTTGGAAGAATTGATTTTTTTCTTCCTGTGTGCAATTTTTGGAATAGCACCTATAAAAAAATCAGCTAGTCAATAATATCTGACATTTTTTTATCAACAAAGACCTTACAGACAAATTGAATCCTAATTATCACCACAGAAATAAGGGTAATTTTGCACTTATCATGCGATGGCATTCGAATGACTTTCACCCGCCATCTTTTTGGATTTGAAGTGATATTCATCCTTCTTCGAACGTTTTTTCACTTCAATAGTTTGAAACTAGCTGTTGTATGATATGAAACTTCAGAACAAATCGAAATTATACCATTGAAGCGTTCATCCAAACAATTTCAAGCTACAGATTCGAGTTGTTGGGAATATCAGAATTCACTTCTACCGCAGGGGAGTTCAAATCATCAGTTCACCGCCAACTTTTCGAATTTAAATTCACTATTCTTTCTCAGGCCATTAGATCATTATTCGAACAAAATGGATCTCATGTTGAGTGACTATATTTGTTTGGCGAAAGAGAGAGCTGATTTCATAAGATTCCTGATAGATATCGGAATATTGGCAGAGACTGTGAAATGCCAAAAGTGCAGAAGTGTGTGCCCATTGATGAAAGACTCCCTGTGGTATCGATGCACCAAGAATGTAGTGGTACGGAGGGGGCACAGTTTAAGGAAAAAAAGTTGCTCCTTCAGCAGAAGTGCTAGAATGAATACATTTTTCGAGGGGCACTTATTGGGGCTGGAAAAAACAGCACTATTTGTGGGGTATTTTTTGTTATTGCCGCACCCTCGTTGCGCATTTCTTATGCAAGAATTGCAAATTTCGGCACATAGTGTGGTAGATTGGAGCAATTTTTGCAGGGAGGTAAATATCTGATAAAAATAAGTATATTCAAGATTTTCAGCATGCGCACATATTTATGTAATTATGTTTGCATCGTGTGGTGCCTAACAAATTCTACCCTACTAGGCGGAGTTGGGAAGGTCGTCGAGATTGACGAGGCGAAGTTTGGAAAGAGAAAATTCAACAGGGGACGTTTAATCGAGGGCCAGTGGATTTTTGGGGGCATAGAGAGAGGTTCCTCCAACATGTTTTTGGTGCCAGTGCCCAATAGGACGGCCGAAACATTGATCGAATTGATCAGACGGTGGATTAGGCCAGGAACAAGTATTATATCTGATTGCTGGAGAGCCTATGCTAATCTGAACCAAGAAGGTTTTGAACATCTGACAGTGAACCACAGTGTTAATTTTATGGATCCTGAAACAGGTTTGTTTCATGAAATATTTTCCTGTCAATGAGTTTATAATTCAAATTTTAGGTGCCCATACGCAGAACATAAAGAGAACCTGGAGCGAGGTAAGGTCTGGTAGGAAAAGAGACCACATTGTAGGCTACCTTGCTGAGCACATTTTCAAAAGACATTTTAGCTTCGAGAAAAGAATTTATAATTTTTATTTGACAACATGGAACATGTATGGAAATTAATATATTTTCAGTTTTTCAATTAAATTACAAATAGAAACATGTCGAAAGTGCTTTATAATTATTGATTTTCTCAACTATAAGATCTTATTTGCCATTTTTTCCTATAGGTACACCATTAAGGTCTTCATAAATTTTATGCATCATGCATTTACTGAAATACCTAGCTCTTCTCTCAAACCCTTTTTCTTCATCTGAGAGATATTTATAAATATCTAATATTTCCTTATAATTCGAATGCATCAAATTCATGCCCTTCACCCTTACTAAAAATCTATATAAATCATCATGGTCTCGCACACCGTTTAAATAAAAGAAAGAACATATTTTTATTCTTTCTCCATATTTGAATGTATTTGTGGCCAAACTCTGCATTATATAATTTGGCCAGGATTCACATTCAACGATATCCTATATTAGCCATAGATAATCATCTAAAATTAATCATTCAATGTGAAATTATTCAGACGAACTCGAGTTACTCACTTGGCTTATAGCTGGGTAAATATGCTTATTTCAATTTAATTTGAAGATTCATACTGCTTAAAAGTTTGTTTGAAGTTGATGTGTAAAAGAGAATAAAGAAGGAAGAATACTTTTCAAAATTCAAAATGATAGCGGGTGAAACTCTTGAAAATTTGACAATTGACATCTCGTATTTTGTAGCGTATGTCTGAAATGCTTCGTATGTCTTAGATTTGATAATTGAGGCCGTCAGCTGATGTGATTGTTTACTTCATTAAATATGGAAAAATCTCCGAAAAAAAATACTTTCAATTGATTTTAATAAATAGAATGTGTCATTAAAGTACAACGAGAGTATGTTAAGTGTCCAGTGATGAAAAAAGAAGGGCAAGTAGTTGCAAATGCGATCCAAGATAGTTGGCAAATACGAGGTGAAATTTCGAACTTTTTCGTGAAATATCTCGAAAAATAGTGGTTTGTTCACATTTTCATTGTGAAATTCGTGTTTTTCAGACGAAAATACGTAAGTAGCAAAAAAAAATTTCGAAAAAAAACCCATCGCATGATAAGTGCAAAATTACCCAAATAAGTCATACCTGATTAGTGCAAAGGCTCTGGAATGTCTAATATTTCTGATTCCATAATTTCCCTTTGAATATCAGTCTCAGGCACTGAAATATTACATTCATTTTCTGTTACTTCAATAATCACATTTTCCACCAATTCTGCATCTGGATCTACTTCTGCTGGTGCACCAGGACACCCAATGATGTTGATCCATCCAAAAAGGGCCATCAGTCTATTTTCAAGATCAGTGAGATCCTTACAAATGTATCCCCCACCACCTGTCTGCATAATAGCACTGTAGTTCAGGCGAGCTTTTTTTGTCTTAGATTTCCATTCATACAGATACTGAAGAAAAAAATTGATAACTATTAGTACATTTGCATTATATAAAAAATTAACACCACAATATACTGAATTGCATGATAATGAACATACGGTTTTCCACTGTTTTTTGGCTTTTCGGGCACCATTTTCTACACTATTCAAGAGAGCTGTAAGTTCTTCCCACTTATCATTCAGTTCAGTAGGATTCAATGGATGTGTTTTCCCAGTAATTAACACTTTATTTTTTCCCAAAAAGTTTATAATTAATTCCATCTGGGTTTTAGTAGTTTTTTCATTTCTTTGGGACATTTTTCAAATGACTTATTGTACTAATAATTATAAAAATAAATTAACAGCACTTTAGCGCCTTCCTCAAAGATTCAAAGGAACTAATTTTTGAGGTTAGATAATTCTTCTTCTTGTGTACATAAATGTGTGTAAATATCATGAAATACAGTGTTGTCAGCTCTAAAGGTACCTCTCTTCATAGCAATATTGCAGGAACAAAAGTAATAACCAATCTTGCTATAAATGTCAGATCAGAATACAGAATAGCATAGCCATATTGTTATAAGTAAGTTAGGAAGAAAGCAAGATAACTAAGACGGCAAGCATTATAGCAATATGCAAACAGAATCGACCCGAATATCATTATATTCTGACCATGTACTTAGAGGTACATAGCTATGCAATAAAAGATAACCAGAGACAACTCTGTAGTCTCTGAAGATAACATCATACCTATCCATGTTTCATTCATCCTAGGGTTCCCAGAGATTTGGTCCATAAACTCAAAACGGAAAATGAGGCTTCTGAGTAGAGTATTACAAAAAAAATACAGGCTTCAAGAGAATAAGTAGTGAGAAATGTATTTCAGCATTTTTATGGTTTGTTAGGAATGAATCCATCTTATTTCGAGTTGTGGCAGATAGATAAAATTTATCTATTAGCACTCTCCATGGAATAGTAGAAAATGTGGCAACGTGTTGAATAGGTCTAACAATTTCATTGTCTGGCCATCAGCTCAAGAGTGTGAAAACATTGCTGCAGAATTTGCAGAGATTAGTTTTCCCGATATTCCATTGGTTGTATATATGGCTTACATAATTATAAGGATCGATATACCTACAGATGATGCGGAATCATATTTGAACAGGAAAAATAGCATTCCATCCAAGTGAATAACTGATTTGCATAGGTATCAAGATAGGTGGATTCAAGGGGCATGAAACTAAAATTAATTTATCAATACCATACATGGATCAATGCATTTCTAGTTTCCAACCCAACAAAATTCTATCTCTTTGAAACGTACCAACTTTTTTCTTGATATTATATCTATGCTCTTATGTTTCTTCTACATCACATTTTTTACAGGTACAAGTTGTTTGTGACAGCTCTAAAAAAATAAGAGATGTATTCATCGGATATCAAGGAAGTGTCCATGATGCCAGAGTTTTCAGGACTAGTCCTTTATATCAAAATATGGCAAAAAATTGCAGAGATTATGTTCTTCTCGGTGACAGTGCCTACCCTTTGCCTGATAAATTCATTAGCACCCGACAAAATAATGAGAATTCGTCAAATGCTCGAACAAAATACAATAAAAAATTTAGCCAATGCAGGGTTTTCATAGAGCATACAATAGGGCTTCTCAAGCAGAGATTTCGACAACTGTTCCATCTGAAGAGCAGGAAAATCAATTCATTTGCCATTTCATAAGAGCCTGCTGTGTCTTGCACAATAATATGTGCATGGATGATCTGATTTTCAATGAGTCACACCAAAACCTAAATAAAGAACATATTGAAGAGGAGATGATTGAAAATGAAGTAAATGATGACAGAAATTATAGAAATTATATAGCTCCAATGTTTGATATTTGAACATTTGTATGCAATTTAATATAGATATTTTCATTTTGATGTAATGTCAATAAAATAGTCAGTATATCTTCAGATTGGATTTTTATACATTATAGGTGAAGCTGTGGATAAAAAATTCAGGTAGGTACTTATTAGAATAAACAAAGAATTCACACACATGTAATGAAAGTGGAGAAAATGGGACAACAATGAATGAACAAACAAAAAAAAGTAATAGTAAAAACTTTCATGAAAGGACTAGCATGAATGGCAATACATAGAACTAATGAAAAATACCATTGAAATCACAGCACATTAAACTACCTATTGCAGAAAAACGGGGGTATGGGTTAGCTGGATTAATTTTGAAGACGTTGTGAAGTATCTACATATATATATATATATATATATATATGAAACTGTCGATTTCCTTCGGGTATGCAGTCAAAGAAAAACAAAGTGTACTCTTGTTTCTGTTCAAGCTTTCGAGTCTTTATTGGCTCTTCATCAGGAACTGGAAAATGAGGTTTTGTTGAAGCTGGCTTCCATTAAGTGGGGAATAATACATGTGTAAAAGAACATTCACAACATGAAAACATCAATATTTTTGAAAGTTGATAAAAATTATTACATTATATTTGATTTTAGTCGATAAAACTTGCAAAGCATTTTTGCTGCGGTAAATATTACAACATGGCTGACAAACAGAAGCAGAACAGTGTTTGTCAGCCATGTTGTAATATTTACCGCAGCAAAAATGCTTTGCAAGTTTTCTCGACTAAAATCAAATATAATGTAATAATTTTTATCAACTTTCAAAAATATTGATGTTTTCATGTTGTGAATGTTCTTTTACACATGTATTATTCCCCACTTAATGGAAGCCAGCTTCAACAAAACCTCATTTTCCAGTTCCTGATGAAGAGCCAATAAAGACTCGAAAGCTTGAACAGAAACAAGAGTACACTTTGTTTTTCTTTGACTGCATACCCGAAGGAAATCGACAGTTTCATCCTTAACTTAGACAGTCGTCTAATCCTCTCCTCTATATATATATATATACATTCTACCTGAATCTGTTGATTGTCCAATTTCTTGAATTTGATAATCTGAAAATATACGAGGTATCAATATTCTGCTGATGAGAATTTGATAGCCGAAATGAGTTTTATGCAAGTGAGGTCATATGACCTGTTTGTGAGATATAATTCCTATATCACTGTTATAAATGATTTTTTGAAAGTTCTAAGCCCATCAAGATCAGAGTTCATACAAATATACTTCTCCTATAAATTACAATTTTCATTTCAATACTGAACGTATTGGTGAGTTCTATTTTTATATCATGATACATCATATTGTACAATTGCACAATTTGAAAGATGATGTCAAATCTCAATTTCAGAGGATTTTCATTTTCCATGCTCTCTTCTTGGATGTTCAACAGATTTTTTTGTGTTCATAATTATATCTGAGAATATTCCTTTTGAATACAAAATATGTTTTTTAACCTCGAGGTTAACCTTCAATATAGGTAGTCGAGTTGAAACAAACAACCAATTACCTGAATCTCCTGTACATTGCTGACTATGTGATTAGAGGCTGTATGGTTTACTTGGTTGTGGATTATATGGATCATCAGTGAATTCTGGTAGTGGAGGTGATAAACAGCTAGATTTATGTCCTGTGACAATAATCATTCAGCATTGAAAAAAATGTATGTAAAATTCTATTGAATGTGTGTTAAAATTTGATAAATAATGAATAATATATCTTGAAAAGCATTAGAGATATTGATGGTGAATATATAGAAAGTTTACACCTTGCTAACAATCATAATATGGGTATTTTTATAGATTTCAACATCCTTTGTATACAAGTAACAAATAAGAATGTACTTCAAAAACTATGTGAGTACAAGCTCAATCATAGATGAGTAAGAAAATTAGGAAAAATTCAATTCTAGGAGATAAAATCTGAGAGAAAGAAAATGAAAGAAAACTGTGAATTGTAAATCAAAATTTCATTCAATTAAGACACTATCAGTGATTTGAATGATGGGGCAAAAGATAGAATTTAGGAAAAATTTCAATTTTCTCTGGAGGAAAATATCAAAATTCCAAAATTCATATTTTTCAATTTAGTCAACATCCCAATAAAACTCTAATAATTGAATGAAAAATACTAAAAAAACATCTACCTACCTTTCAGATGCTTGGACAAAAATGCTCCTCTGTCCTCTGCCCATTTCATCTTCTGAAGATGTTTCTTTTGTGCATCTCTTTCTGGCATCAGCAAGATTGTCTTAAATGTAAGAATCCTTATAAACAATATTGTATAATTTTCTTAACAAACTATAATTCTGAAGTTCATAAAATTTCATAGATGAAAACCCAAAGTCATCTCCACAACTTTTATTTAATGATCCTAGATCATATAAGGGAACATGTTTCGGGCTTATATAAGCCCATCATCAGCCAAGAAAATGTAAAGTTATGGAAGTGAAAAATGTTGCAATGTGTATAAAATAAGCAATAACGGAGCAAGCAAAGGCCATTGCTCCATGATTGTTTATATAATAAAAATGTTTTTTAAAAATTTTTTCTAAAAAGTTGAAGGTTTAGGGGTCGGGAACATACTTAATAAGGGCCCACGGTACCCTCAAATCACCGATAAGTGGTAATTAAACTTGAAAATATCAATATTTTATATTCAAGTTCAATTACCACTTATCGGTGATTTAAGGGTACCGTGGGCCCTTATTAAATATGTTCCCGACCCCTAAACCTTCAACTTTTTAAAAAAAAATTTAAAAACATCTTTATTATATAAACAATCATGGAGCAATGGCCTTTGCTTGCTCCGTTATTGCTTATTTTATACACATTGCAACATTTTTCACTTCCATAACTTTACATTTTTTTGGCTGATGATGGGCTTATATAAGCCCGAAACATGTTCCCTTATATGATCTAGGATCATTAACACGTTAACCGCCAAAGTGAAATTATCATAAGGACTGTATCTGTGGAATTTGGCTGCCGGCGCCCAATGATTTTTATTTCCAGGGCGCCATTTGGGTTGCCGGCGTCCAATTATCAGACTCATGAAATGTTGTACGTTGGATGCCGGCAGTTCAATATACTCACGATTTTC